CCTACCTTATATCCTGGTGATGCTTAAATCCAACCTTTATGTTAAGATCAAAGATCCAGCCAGTTTGTAGTTCAACATGATGCATTAGAGGAAATCATATAACGAAAGTCATGTGAAGCATGAGGACGGTCATGCACAGAATAAATAAATCAGCAGACTTTTTATTTACAACCTAACAGCAGAAAACTCTGATATATGTACTATATGCGCTGGGAATATGTATATAACTCATTAGATCACATTTGAAGATAGGCAATGGACAACAGATGTTACTTCGCCAGTTATCTGTCAGGTTTCTTTCCTTCTGACTTCTATCTGATTAATTTTGGAAGTCTCTCAATGCAATAGACAACCAACAGTTGTTACTGCATTGATGTTTCCTGCCATTGAGTATTTCCATCCAAACACAATGTCATTGAAATGCATAAGGTTGGCCAAATCGCGTAGGAGAACTACATTTGGAAGAGTGAAATTGTTTCTAGCACACTAAGTACACATACAATCTACGATAAAGGAAACAATTTTGTTGCCATTTTACTGTTTTTTGTTTTATATTGTTAAATTAGCAAGAAAGCAAATAAGTTTCATCACACATAATTCTTCAACTTCAACTTACCACCCAACCAAGTGCAGCCGAGTCCTTTCCAAAGCCCAGAAATCGGTCCCTGATGAAGTCATGTTCCTGGACGTGGGTAAATTTCATCCGCTCAGCTGCATAAGAAACATCTTAAGTTCCCAAGATTGCAACTTAAATTGAATATTGGTAGGTGAGAAATAATCAGTAGACTTGATCAGTAGACTTGAGTAAAACATATTATTGCTTTCCCAAAAGCATATGCTGAGACAGAATGGAAGCACGGCCCATGAAGACCTTGCACAGGGTGAAATTGTGCCTGTCATATGAGGTGACACTGATTGGGATGTTTGTTGCAACATGTATTGCTTATCAGTACATGAAACTTGTTTCAAGTGGCTTATAAGTACCAAATTGAAGTGCCAATATGCATTGGATATACATCGGATATGCGATGACTAGTGATTCCAAGGGTGCAGGGAGGAGAATCCAAAGCTGAAGCAGTACTAAGAAATTCAAGTACCTTGCTCAGGGTCATCTTCCTTTTTCTGAATAGCATCTTCCCAGAGTTTCCATTGGCGGATCTGCAGTTTGGAGAGCAAATAAAATTGATAACAAATAATTAATGAAGAAACTTGTTTAAATATTACTACCATCTTACATACCTTTGCACTGGCAAATAGAATTGTTAGCGCACAGAAGATGACATGAGAAACGGCCAGTGCAAATATAAAGATGTGAAGGTGATGCAAAGCTGTGAGAGATAGCAGCGGTGCCTTCCCCTGATGCAAAAGGCAAGAAAGTGGTTAGGAAAATTTTGGAGTTAAAAGTCTGATGGATGATAATGCAGAAATTCCAGAACCTGGCAAAAGAAAGAGCGGGACTTAAAATTGAGTTTCAGAAGATTTCCCAATTAGCAACAGAGAGAGTGAGTGGCATATGTTTAACTGTTTTACTATATGAAATGAAGCATAATAACTTCCTCTGGAAAGTTGAGGAGAAAAGTCGGCGGGCGAAAGGGAATGAATAAGCTAGCTAGGCGGGCAACAAGGTGAGTAGTTAGCAGGGCAGTACCCTTTTTTCGCAGTAGCCTTGAGTAGATGATGCCTCAGCCAGAAGGCGGCGGTGGAGTCCTCCTGGTCCGGGAAGGAGAGAGGAGAAGAAGGCGGAGGTAGTCTGGAGGTGGGAATTGGTTGAGGAGGAGGTATCATCTTTCTTCTTGCAGGGAAGCCAGTCGTCGGTCAAGTGCTTGGCGATGCATATCTCATTAATTCTGCTTTGGGACACGGTGAGAAGGAGAGATATGAAGCCCAGTAGCATCAACTCTGAACGCCGAGTCCCAAGAGAGAAGATGATCGTTAAAAAAAAAAAAAAAGAAGAGTCATCAATCAATCATTCCCGATCATTCCATAATATTAGCAGAATGGCGTGGTGCGGTGTGGTGTGGTGATATCATTTATGTAAAAAGAGAGATGGAAGGTGATGCAGAGGGCGGACCTTCCTTGATTTTGAGCAAGGCCTGATACAGCGGCTTCTGATTCTTCTTCAGCAAATACTGCACACGTACGCGGAGGCGGAGGACAGCCATCCATCACCATTCACCAACCGATCAAGAAGAATTTGTTAGTTAGCCCACGAATGCGATCAATGTTGTATCATGAAGGAAAAAATGAACGAAAGGTTGGATGAGCAGCAGCTAGCTAGCTTGCTTGCTTTAATACATATATATAGTAGGACAGTAGGAGTAGTATATTATGCAGGGAGGCAGGAAATAGGTACCTTGCCGGCATAGTGGAGGACCCTTTCGGCAAAGAGAGAGAGGGCGACTATAACGGTGCACACCAGAGCCACCACCCACGTCGGTGTATACTCCAAGGTAAGTCCTTCTCCTTCACCTCCTCCTGCCATGATCAATATTCTCAATATTGATGATGGATCCTTCTTTCCTTCCTTAGTATTCTCACTACTTTTTAGTTAGGCTATTATATCTATATGCCCCTCTCTCTCTCTCAGAGGCTCTGGCCACCAACTGGCAATCGATCCAAGCGCCGCCACCAGTACTCTCCTCCTTTCCTTCCTTGTTTCTTCCTTCCCTTCCCTTCCTTCTCTTAGCTAATTGTACTACTAGTAGTAGTCTATGTCGCGTTTGTTTTTTTTTGGCTACTATTATATGTAACTAGATGATTACTACTAATAAGAAGAAGAAATACTTCAACTAGTCGTAAGTCTCTATGTAGTATTCATTTTTTCAACACAGAAGTTGATATCAGCATCCAGTTACTCGGTACATAAGATGAGATGATATTACCGAAGGGGAGAGAAGAGAAAGAGGAGGAGCGTGTGGGACCATATTGCCGCCATACATGATACGACATTTCGACCCTGTTTCGTGAGGGAGTTGCATGATCATCAGAGGTTTCATTTATTACTACTATTAAGTACACTAATAGTACTGCTCTAATACTAATAAGTATTATTGAGGTTGCTCTAGTACTAATACTCCTGAATTGAGAGTCGGGATTAAGATTTAATCCTCTAGCACCCACGCTAATACATATAAATTATACTACTGATGTTTCTGGGAAATGGTAGGAGCGGTTTATGTGTTTCATATTTTGTTGATAATTTTATTAGGGTAATAATTATTGGATTAATCTTCTATATACACTGACTGACAGTATATAAATACTCATCATCACCACTGGATTGGATGCATGACAATTCATCCGAACTTAAACTTAAATTTCAAATTATTGCTCATGTATCTTATATCCAATCGTGATAGTGTACACACTGTCAGTCAGTGTCCATGAGATCTACTCATAATTATTACCACTACATATGCACTCCTCATTGTTGTTATTGTTATTAGTATTAATATAGTTCAGTGATTGGACGATAAAAATGGTGGGGTTGACCGTTATACGAATGACAATGACAATTGATACCGGATTCATAAAATTGCTTTCAAAATTTCAAGTCCTCACGATAGTCAAACCCACCCCGCGGGGTCTGAGAATGAGGTCTCTCCGGTCCAGTCCCCTGAAGATGTGGCCGTGATTTTAGTTGGTTGAATGTTACTACTACTGTCGCATCCTCTTTGGTTCTTAAGACAGCAGGAGATGTCCTGAATAATTGCACGCATGTTTTTACTCTACCAAGACAGACACAAAAGGAGATGTCCTGCATAGCCAAAGCAAATTCAGGGAGCTTCTCTAGATTTCATTTCAGGATAGCTATCCTGAAATCGTTCCAATTCCAAAGATGACTACTGTCTATTTCCTATGTCAAATAAGTTACAGAGAGAATCTGCAAATCAAAGTCCTTGTTAACTTTACATCCTTTTCATCTTATTTATGAGTTGCTCCAAAATCTTTGAAGAAAAGTCAGTCAATGCAAGCAAAGTAGACTTATAGTCAGTCCTGCGATAAGATATTTTGGCCTGGCTTGATTGAAGCTTCCCCTCCTCCCCCCCCCCACCAACCAACAAATCCAAAAGGCCTTCATCTAGAATGTGATTTCAGATTTGACTATCTGCTATTCCTTTTTCACAGTCTCTTTAATTCTTCCTCTTTATAGAATAGAATAAATTAGATTATATAAATATTTTACCAAAAAAAAAAAGAGAGAGAGAGAGACTTCGTCTGGAGGCGCGGAACTAGGTGGTAGTACTAATACTAATTAAACTATTACTAACACCAGCAATAATATTACTACTTTGTATTAGCCATTCAAGGTTGAAGATTGTAAAGTCTTTGCTTCTGTTCTGACTTTGCCGAATCCGGCCAGAGATGCAGTGTCCAGGGTCGTCTTTTTTTTTTTTTTTATTCCTTATCTTAATCAAAGACAAGTTCAAAGCTACACAAAAAAATGATCATATTCGTATCCTACCCACCTATTTCAACCAATCATCAAAGTGATTATTACCTTACCACAACAACCACCCCGCCCCCAAAAAATACTTTTTTACTCTACCTAAAATTTGAACCACTGCATGTTGATTAAATGCCTATCATTTCTAGAAAAAAAAAAAAAAAAACATGTGGATTGAATGGCTCGCTCCTTATTTTGTTTTTTTTTTTTTTAAAATCCTTGTTTCCAGTACATACCTTTCTAAAATAAATGACGCACACTATTAGACTAATTCCGTAATCTGATAGTTAATAGCAGACACTGTGACCAGCTCCTATGTGTTATCTCGTACCTCGTTATGTATTCTTGAAACAAAGCCCTACACAATCTTAAAGAGCCATGTTTTGAGGGGGAAAAAAAATGACACGCAGTGTACACGACACAATATGAACGTGCGGACATGGGTGCAAAGTATGCAGCCGAATATGATCTGGTCACGAGCACATGTTTTCTTGGTCAACCTCAAGGGTTTTCAGACGGAAAAAAAAGAAAAGAAAATTTGGTCGGAAAGAAGTGACAAATTAAAGACTCACTCAAACTATTATTCAACGTAAGCAAATGCCAGTCCGGTCCCTCGAGACGCAATCAAGCTGGCCCTGTCCTTTTGGACCCGGGAGCCTGTTCTCTGAGTGCCCATCCTGCATCCGGTACCACGGACATGCCTGCTTCGTACTCTGTTGCTCATAATTCCAACCACCGCCAGACTGGTGGGGAACTGATGGAAACAAAGCAACGTATGTAGTACATATCTGAGAGCTGTCTCTTCTTCTTTCTACTCCTGGTTTTTCAACATGGAGAGGACTTCATAGAGGAGTCCAGAAAGCTAAGAAAATTTATGAAATTCAATCCCCCAAATCAAAAACTTAACGAGCATGCAAGGAAACGTTCCTTACAAATCCATCCACTGCATCCATAACTAGCACCGTTCACGGCATCTATAACTATCAACACCACAAAATCGCTCAAAACCAGTAACTGGTAATCCACCTCCCTTCTTTCCGGTACAACCTTAACATTTCCTCGTAAAAAATAGCACATTCCATTTGGTCATCAAAAGTATTAACAACATCATCAGAGAGTCCAGAATGAATTCCTTTGATCTCCTGCAAGCCAATGCACGAATAGATCACTAGCACCACAAATTAAGTACCCGATTTCAACAGATCTGTTGATTTCTATACCTCACAAGTCACCACCACGAGCAATTGTTGTGCCAAACCAAAATTCAGATTTCAAAAAAACAAAAAAAAAAAAAAAAGAAAAGAAAAAAGGGTCTGAATACCATGCAGCCAACGAAACGAAGAAATAGACGATGAATTAATTGGTACAAGAAGAAGGTCAATCAGCGTTCATTGTACTCTTCCTCATCTACAGAAGGAGTGTGGTTTCTTTAAAGAAAAATGCCTACGTTGAAGTGTTGAACAGAATCTCATATAAAAACTTACAAGTTAAGCACTTGATGCAGCAGCAAAGAGACGGTCACGTCTACTTTCAACAAAGTTCCTCCGGAATTGCTCAAACTTGCCTTCTTCAATAGCCTTTCTAATTGAGCAGAAGAATCCCAGATAGTGGTGTGTGTTGTGTCTGGAACACAGCCAGAGATAATCATATTAGATAAGTACATGACAGTGAAATAACAGTGGTTCCAAGAGAATTCATACATCTCCAATAGAGTTTGTGCCAACATTTCATGAACGTTGAACAAGTGATTCAAATATGCCTTTGTATGATTCTGGCATGTGAAGCAGATGCAGCTTTCAACAATTGGTGATGTATCTTTCCTGTCAAAACGAAAAAAGGAAGAACACCTCATGATACTTGTCTCAGCATGCTCAACTAACATATATTATATACTAGCAGAAAGCATCCAGAGGTTTCCAGATCTGTTATTACCTATATACAGTAGCTTTCAGATTGATCTTCATGCCATCACCTCCCGAATCACTTAGCTGGTAATCGGCATTCTCACCCTTATTTCTCTCAAGAGGGAAGGTTAGAGCAAATCCACCAAGTGTAAGATGGTAAACATACCTGTTATAACCCTGACAGCTTTTAGTTACTTTCCTGAGTAGCCAGTAAAATGTTCAAGAATGTTAAACTACCAACATTCGTAGAGTCAAATAGGTCAATGCCTGCAGCAACTCCCTGCAATACCTCCTCTGTTGACAGAAAATAGCTTTGCTGAACAACACACAATCCCAGATGCTCAAAGCATAACAAAAGTCCCATTAAGAAAGATTATTTTTAGGACTGGCAATATGATTAAGCAGTTGATGAAGAACAAAACTAATTTATTCTTTAACTCATAATTTGATCAAACATGAGGCTCAAAACAAAATCTTTCATCATGCACACCCCCCCCCCCCCCCCCCCCCCCCCCCCCCCCCCCCCCAAAAAAAACCCAAAGGAAAAAAAGAAGTTAAGGGTTTGAAATAATTTCCCTTACCTGGAAGTCCAAGTCCAGAGACATGCCTTGGCATGTCCTCTGGTAAATTGTCCTGGGTCCATTGATGATAAGCCCAAACCAACAAATAAATGTAAGCATCATTCTCACAATTGATCACATTATGCAAAAGGATCAAGATAAACTAAATCAATGATGAGCATAGGATTAACTTAGGTAATTCAACTGGACTAACTTGAAATTAATGCTTACACCAAATTGATATCTAATGGATTCCTTATAATCTAGTTCCCATAGGAATCTACAATACGCCTTTTTAACAATGCTCATTTTCTTCAAATGTTGCAATCACAGCAGAACTTGAGCTGATTAACTCGACACATCAGCCGATTAAAGCCCTCTGAAAGAAAGCAAGTCTGACTTCATTATTGACACATGATGCATAGACAACAATGAACAATTAATGCTTTCTATTCAGGTTCAAGAATGACATTAGCAAACACTGAATATCTTCTAATCATCAGATTTTGTGTGACAACAGGCACTTTCAATGATATCTGGTGCAAAGTGATGCTTGAAATAAATTGAGCTACCATTCCATCAATCACATAGTCTCCCATGGACTTTTTGAAATAAAGTCAATACAATGCTAGCATCAACAAATCCTTAAAGCAGCATGTTGGGAATCTCTAGAAAACCTGTACTCACATTATTGGATAACGAGCCTTTAATAAAGGCAGACAAGCAAAAGCATAAGTATTCCAGCAATTAATAACCTTTAGTAACTGCAAAATATTATCTCATATTTCCAATTAAACAATCATGTTGAATCAACGAATTAGCCAACATCACCGTAGACAAATCATGATATGAAATGATGTTTCTAGCACTAGATTTAAGTCTTACCGTAACAGCAGTGAGAAGAGCAGCCCGCTCGTCCATACTTTCTCCAAGCCCAAACCCACCAATCCAATATCCTGCAAGCCAATTTTCATATTCTAATTGTACAATTGACAAGAAATTTGAAATCCGAGTGTTCCAGTCTCTGTTTCCTCACTAAGATCCACAAAGCATCGTGCACTCTAAAAATGTTTGTACTATTAATGACAACAAATTCAACAACCCTGAGTTGGAGTATTCCAGATGGAAAGGAAGACAGACCAATATGTTTGTCCTTTTTTTATACACAGCATAATGATTTCAAATAAAATTTTCTAGTGCTTGAAATAACTTAAATCTCATCTTTCTATAACCTAAGCATATAGGACTATGTACTGGTTTTCAAGCAACAAACCAAGCCCAATAAGCCCTGCAATTCTTTTGTGGGAAAGGGCTACAGAAGATCTCTTAAATGCTACACTCCACTGAGAGTCATGTACTTGAAACACGGCTAGACCTTGTATTAGAGTTTGTGGTACTGCTAGAGCTCGAGTCGATGTTTACTTTGAAGTTTTTATTGAAAAAGAGTTGATATTTAAGGTTTTGTTCTTTTCACGAGCTTTTGAATTTGAAATTCAAGAACATAGAATGTTTAATTTTAAATTTATTGTTTTTAAAAGACAGGATTTTGTATTCTAATCAGAATTTTTGAAATCCCAGAAATTTTCAAATTCCAGAATTTTAATATGAAGGGACAATAGACTGTTTAAAAAACCAGGAATTCGCAATTCCTGTCAGAGATTCCGGCTTAAAGAGCACAATTTAGATTCAACTCTACATAGTAGAGGGGTTCGAGAGCACTTAAAGTCTGCTGAATATGAAGCAGCAAATGTAGGACGATTATAAAGGGAGGACAAAGCCAATGTTATCACCACTCTGCCTCAAAAGTTGTTGTAAAGTCAAACAACCATTGAAATGAGTCTAAAATAAAAGATACTAGCTCAGAAGGTAAGCTAATAACTCGAAACACGACACAAACATAAAACAAGATACTAGTAAAATGACCAGACCTGATACATTTCTTTGTGCAACTTCTTGTGCACACCGATGCCGTTCTTCAATGCTGGAGCCTCCTACAATGGATCCAAAAATAGTAGTACCTGTCTGTAGTGATAATTAATGTGCAACCTGGTAAGCCTTCAGAAATTTATAACAAAAATAGCTTTTGGGTAAACTCCTATAGTACGAATAAATGCATGTCTAGTAGAAAGTTGAGAATTCTACCAGTCCATGAAATGATCAATATAAACTTACAAATGCACAAAAAATAATCTCCTGAGCATGGATCCTATAAAATTCAAAACCATGTAATCCTCACTTTCCTTATTGAGTGAAAGGCAATCGTCGAGCCATCTCAGAGTGCGGTCAACTGAGGTTCTGTTCCTCTTATTAGAAACCCAAGCAGGAACTTCATCAGCCAAAGTGACCCAAAAGTCAGGCTTCATTGAAGAAACAAGTTCCACGTATTCTGCAGGTTTTATCTGATTCATTCATGAAAGTGCAGAACTCGTTATACAGGTTCTCAGAGCATGAAACGTTATACAGATTCTCAGAAGGATTAAACTCAAACATTTAAAAAGAAAAAAGGACGTTAAGGGGAAATGAAATAACCAGAAGACGGCCTCCAGGAGTCTGGAAAGACGCTCCATATTTGTTAGTGCTGTCATGTTCAGGAAGGGCAATGATAGAATCCCGCGGTACGGCCGCGAATATGTGTTGGTGCAGACTAAGCATTTGGTGCAGTCCTCCAATGTTAGATATTGTTTTAGGAGAAATACCCTCTAAGCTGGAGAAGAAACACGGCAGTTGTACTTACTAGCATGAATTGAATCATACAAACTAGTTAGCAGTGTTAGACTATTTAGTGCTGGCTTGGCTGGTATAAGGTTCCAGCACAGAACACGAACAGACCAGACAACAAACACCTGGTACGCGACAGACAAGATAACATCTCATAGACAAAAATTTTGCTTCTTTTGAGCGTAAAAAAAATCTTTTTTTTTTTTTGGGGGCCAAGCGCTTACAAGTGAAGGGGGCTGAACTGGAGCAGGTGAGAATCCGGAGAAGGAAGAGAGGAGGTAAGGAGGTCCGGAGAGATGAAAGGGGGCAGGCCTTTGCGGGTTGTGAGGAGCAGAGCGGGAGTCTGAATTGGGAAAGGACAGCTGCCCAGCTGCAGAACCCCTGACCGGGCTCTTCCGTTGCTCCATCCCTTCTTGACGGCGAACTTCATCTCTCTCTTCCACAACTCCGGCTCCAGTGCCGGTAGTGCTGCTACTATTTTTGTTTGTTTGTTCTTACAATTTCAAAGCGTCGCTCTCTGCTTCGCGCGCTTTAACTCAATTGTCTGAGTTATTTGCGCCAAACCCGCTTTAACTGTGCACCCAATTGCAATTTGCACCACTGAGCTTTATTTAATTCCGCACTAGACCCTTCTTTTGTGTCCAAACCAAATCTGCCTTTGTCTATTTCAGTCTCTTTTTCGTTCTCCTCCTTTTTCTCCTTCTATTTTCTTGGCCCTTCTTCTCATGCCACCATTTCCTTACTTTTCAATTATTAGGATTACTAACCATATGCTTACAATCGCATTCTTAAATGAAATTTTGCTTATAATTTTTTAAGTAGTTATAGTTTGTTTATTTCTTCATTTTTCCCATCAGTAATTGACAAAAAATAATCTGGCATTAACAAATTCCATAAGCTTGTCACGCGAAAATCCCATGCGTAATCTACTAACTCAATTATTTGAATAGATATGAGCAGATTAGAACTCATGGTTCGTCGATGCGAAAAAGAAATTAAGTAAACAAAACAACACATCTTATGTTTGTTTATCGTTATGTTTTACTGTTCGTATTCGATTAATCATTATTTTTTGCATGATCTTATTATTTGTTACTTTTACTATTAACAACTCAATTAGTTTTATTCTTGTAGTATTTGCAATACCTATTAAATTACCTACCCCGTATGAATTCAGCTGGTTACAGGTCTATCTATTGTCCTATTGCAATTGTCATTGCATGGAAAGGCATTTTGACAGAATATCATCATGCAATTTATACACAACTTCTTGTAATATGTATTTGTCATTTTGTCATGTTCATTTTCCTCTCCATTGACATATTTATCTCCAAAACTACAGGGGTTTAAGACTCATGCTTTTTATCTTCCCCTTTCATCTTTGTTATTTAGCACCGTATTGGAGTAGAGTTTGAATCACTTGATACCTTTCTTCTTTTGATAACTTGGTACCTTTCATCTTTTGTGATGCTTGTGAAACAATCAATTGGCTATATTCATTGAGTATCATTTCAGTTTCTAGTAGTCTAATTAATTGAGCATCAATTATCATTTGATATCAATATGTTTTTGATTGGGAATTGAAAAAATAAAAATAAAAATACTTGTTGAAAGTCTAAAATTCATCTGATATGCCTTATAATTTATGATATGACCTAAAGTAACTTCTTATATAAATTAGATTGAAAACTAGCTTTATTTTAATTATTTTACTTGCATTTTAATAACTAATTTCTATAAGTAGTGTTTAGAAAAGTGAAGGAAATTAGTTATTTGTTTTCCTTCACGTGAGTTTGGTTAGTAGAAAAGTTGAAAAAAAAAATTTTTTTTTTTCACTGTTGTTCAGTTTCCTGTATTTTGTCCTCATAAATTTGATTTCGATGGAAAATGGCAAAAACTTCCTATTTTCCCTCATGTTTTATGATAACCAAATGTAATTCGAGAAACAATTTTCATTTTCTTTTACTTCAATATTCCATATTTCACTTTCCCATATATACAATTTTGTTTGAATCAATTGGCATAAACTAATTCAAATCTTTGAGTGAAGGTGCATGTAAATTTATTTTGTTGCCCTGTTGATCAACATTTAAATTTGTCCAAACATAGTTTTAAAGGGTTAAAATTATGATAATCGATCAGTATGCAAGCCCTCTTTTTCTCTCTTGTTTTAAAATACAACTATATATTTTTTGTCATAATTTATTTTCTTATTCACAAAAATGTTGTACTTATTGCAGTATGTCTTATTTAAGAACTTGATTCTATTTCTTCTATACAACTCTCTAGATTTTTCTATTACATGGATATAAGTATAATGAAAGCCGACACATGTATTACAATATGAAGAAAGAGTGCATATATTACAATATGAAAAAAGTCGTCGTATTTTATTAGAGAAAATTACTTATTATGAAAATTTTCAAGGGTAGTTAAGTCCATTAGCTTAGTTTAAAATCAAACTGGATTAAGCCGCAGACATCCTTCGAGTAGGAATTTCATTTACAAGAATGAAGATGTGCTGCCCTTTATTTTATTGGTTAATTAACTTCCATACAATAATACTTGTAATAAAATTGGGGACTTAAGATCACATGGATATTTGACAAAAGTAGGCATCTAAAGATAAGATTGATTCTTTCTTGTTAGAAATTATTATAATATCGTTTATATCTTTGCTTTAAGTTGACATATACGCATTATTTTAACGTAATTTTAAAAATAAAAAAGTGTCAAGCATTTAGCTCCTATTTGATAACCCAATTCAACGCTTAAATTTAATAGATTTAGATATTAATATATTCAAATCGTTTGATAATTAAAAATTGAACATCTAAATTAATTAAATGACATTGAATTTTCTTGCCAAAACTTGCTCCCAAAATTAAGTGATAAGCTATTCAAATACATTAGATTTAATACTTAACAATTCAATAATTTAATAGATTTAGACTTTAATTTTATCAAACGTACTCTTAATGTTATTCGGGCTTTTAATATACAGGCCGGATGAAGTGCTATGAATAGAAGAGTTTTTTTTTTTGGCATTGTCGATTTCATCGCTTTCACTATTATCAAAAGTTTTATCTCTTTTCCAAAGCAGAGTCAAATCCCAAGTGCAATTGCATATACACAAACGACGAAACCATGTTTACAGCACAAAGTAGTAGTATCATTCTATTCTATTTCATAGAAATTCTTTTTTAAAAAAAAATACAATTTCCTTCCTAGAAAAAAAAAAAGACTTTAACATTAATGTTACACGAATACTCTCAATAAATTCACTCAAATTAGGAGTCATAGAATTATCTTATATGTTATAATAGGGGTATTACTAAAGAAAATCTAAATCACTAGGGAGAGGGATGAGTTGGGTGGTAAGGGGTAAAAAAGCGCAACCAAGTGATCAGATCTACACTTAAAAATAAAATAAATGAATAAAAATTTGAAAAAAAAAACTAAATTACTAAATCATGAAATCATATGTTTTATTGTGGTCTTAAATTAGGAGATTAGCTAACTTCCATACAAATTTACGTGCCAAACAATTTTTGCCCTATAAACTATACATTGTGCTTATAATGGTTTTCAAGGTATCAATAATAGAATGTATTGATGAAAATTGATTTTTAACACATTTTTATAGTCACAAAATTTTTTGAAAAGGTTAATTTGCATTCTTCATCATATATTAATTTGTTTTTGGTAACTAAATCAAGAGTTATTTAATTCCCAAAACTTGGTTCTCTTCGTGGTGATATTCAACAGTTGACATAAAACATTTTTCGCATTGCCACCAAATAAATCCTTGCTTGCTTAGTCTCATGTTTCCACGGGTAACTAGTTCTATCACAAATTTTGATAGCCTATGACTACACATATTTCCAATCCTATTTATACAGGAAAAGGTCCATTGCACAAATAGCTCCCTCAGGTCAAAAATAGTCTCTAATATTCTTCCAATCTTGTTCTCCATGCTATTCCCTACACATATATTTTTCAACTACAAATCTTGCCTGCAACACTCTCATGCTCTTCTATGCTTTTAGCTGACTCCTGTACTCTTTAACTAGGCTGCTCTTTTCATTGCTTAGCTCTTCTATTCTTTAGCTAGGGTACTCTTTTCATTGCTTACCTGTTCCTTCATTTTTTTTTTCTAAGAAAACTGACTATAAATACTTCATAATGGCAGTCATATTCCACCACAAAAGGCATTGACAAACAATGGCACGCATCATCATGTTATTGTTCTTGTTGTTTACCTTTACTACCACTATCACTAATTCATTTTTTGACTTCTTCAGGATGGCTCGCCAATGGCCGCCAGGCTATTGCACAAAACCAGGATCAAATTGTAGGAGAAATCCATTGCCAAGCAATTTCACAATCTATGGGTTGTGGCCAAGCAACTTTAGCCAACCTGTCTTCACTTGTTCATCATCCCTGTATACAAATATATCGGTATTTGTTCTAATATTTCTTCTCTGTGTTAACTTTATTGACAATGACTACTTTAGTTACATACCTTAACAACTTTCAATATTTTAAGTGGTTTGAAATGCATTCAAATGATTTTCAACTCCGTGATATTGTATGACCAAATCTAGAATTGGTTGGATATTGGAAAGATAAAAAAAAATGTTGGGTACATGAATGGAAAAACCACAACACTTGTTGCTCTCCACCATACACACGAAAATGTTATTTTGATTTAGTTATAACTTTAAAGAATCAAATATATCTTCGGTAGCCATTTCAACGTGCCCGTATAACTCCCAATAATTTTTACGATTTTCACCATTTCTACTTGTCTATCATTGCTGCTACCACCAAGGTTCCCAACCTGATTTGCAGGCAGCGTGTAGTTTATCAGCATTTGGGAGCTCTTTATATCCATGAAGTTGTACTTTGTTATGACAACACTGGCCATGCACTCATTGATTGCCTTCTTGCCAAATTTGTGAATAAGAGGATAAGCTATCTTGTTAACATACATCACTCTTATATTCTTTATCATCTCTCATATTATTTTATTATCCCTTATAACTAATAGACAACTAGGATAGAATCAGTTTTTGTATTCCTGTATGATAAAGATATAATTAATTGTATGATAAGGATAGTATTAGTGTAGTATTTAACTTAGAATTAATTGTACGATAGGATAGAATTAGCGTAGTATTCTAGTATGTTAGCTAGAAGTCTACTATTTATTTTTGTACAAATTCTCAGTTGTACATGACACAATGAATTATTTTTTTAAAATTATGAATAAAATAAATTAAAGATCAATATTTTTTTTGTCCAGAATTATCATGCATGTAATTACTTTAAACGGGTAGATACTAAACTTTGAGAAAAATGAAGAAAAATATAATAATATATGCTACGTTATAGTCCTGAAGATTTCTTATTTTTGTAACATGACTGATGTTGTATTTTCTACAGTCCTGCAGATTTCTTATTTTTGTAACATGTCTGATGTTGTATTTTCTACCATTAGTGCAGTTGTTATGAATGGAATAATGATTTCTATT